AGTAGAATTAATATGTACCTGCAGTTGATGTTGGGATCAGAAGTCCAGCTGAAACAATCCTTGCCAAGTTTGGGAAGGCCTCTGGCTGGCAACCCACTCTTGACATTATGGCCTGGCAGGTGCAATCTGGTAATTCTTTCATTAGGTGCTTGGTGGTGTGCCACTCCTCCATTAACAGCTCATCATCTAAGCTGTAATGTTCACTCAGCATCTAAAAGGAAATATAGCAATTAGTTACAAAAGTAAAAAAACAAACCAACAACCAAAACAAAACAAACAAAGAATTTTGTACAGTACTAAACTAACCTTGATTTCTTCCTGTCCATAGAAGTTCAATTCATCTAAGCTCTCTGGAAGCAGACCTGGGTTGAATATGTTGAACGCTTCCAGCATGGGAAGGTCAGGAAATCGTCTCTCCAAGTTCTCCACAACCAGATCCAAGTATTTGTCATAGACCTAAAGACACAATAAAGCAATTGGTTAAGTGTTAGATTTTGCAAAAACAAAATAGTCTCAGCTGAAAAAAAAGCAATGATAAAACAAAAAATACATCATTCAATTATTTAAACAAGATAAAATAAAACTAATGATACATACCGATCTCTTAAACGAGTCAGTCTTGTCCTGGGTTGGGATGCTAAACTTCATTGGCTTGTCAGCAAGGTCTACCATAACTTCAGGCAATTGTCTAAAGAACTGGCCAGGGTTGGTTTTTAGGGCAGTCACAGAGCTTATGGTTCCAGCAACAAGTGGTCTCACCAGGGTGTAGTCTAAGTCTTTGCGCTGAGAATTAATGATTTTTAAAAAATTGTAAAAAAACAACAGTCTACTACCTTGTCAATTAGGTTCAAGAAATAGGGAAAAGTAATCGTAAAAAAAATTTTAAAAAATACAGTAATACTGAAATAATAAATACCTGCATTGCCTTAGACAGCTGGGATAGCAAAGGGAGAACATCTGACAGCATGTAAAGTGTCGCGACAAAGTCGTACGTCTGGAGGAACACAGACAGCCCCATGGCCTGCACGTCTGATCTTTCCTGTGCTTCCCTCTCCAAACTCATTAATACAGCCTCAAATGACCTCCTTATCGATTGTATTGCAGCATCATGGCTCAGCCATCTCACATCTTTGCCCTGTGTTATCTTGATTGCTGGATTATTTAGGATAGTCTGACAAGAAAAATCAAAAGTTTACTTAGAAATTTATTTAAAAACAAGTTTTTTAAAATGTTGTAATTTTAAATATTTAAAAATATTAAAAGATTCTGAACTGACAACAGAAGAATTATCTGCAGAACTACAACATTGGAGTCAGAGACATACCTGGATTTCATGCAAAGCAGCTGTGCGAACAGCACTGTAGTTGTAGAATCTATACAACTGTTCCACTATGGCCTTGAACTTCTTAATGTAGCTGATTTGGTTGGCTGCTTGGGAACTCGCAAGGGCTAATCTGTGAGCGACACAGTGGTTGTTGATCAGATGGGGAACC